TGATATAGATATATAACAATCCTCCCTGACCTGGCGGTATTGCATTATTCCATCTTTCATATATATATATATATATATATATATATATATATATATATATATATATATACTTATATGTAAAAGACTATAGATGACGTCTTAAACATTGGTTTGCAGGAGTAGTAATAGTGATATGATGGCTTGACTTGTTATTTCTGAAGAGTACAACAATAACCACGACACGAGTCTTGGGTAAGTGCTGAGTGCGGGGGGCGCAGCGCCGACCAGCCCTGTGTGTATGTGGGGGGTGGGGGCGGAAGGCTGGTGAGAATGACCTGAGCCTGCGGGAGCGAGGGCACGTCTGCCGAGGTCAAACAAGGTCAGATAACTCGTCAGCTACTCCTCGCTGAACGATGGTTCTCCCCTGGACCTCGAGCCGCGTGGCCATCCTCATCACCATCATCATTATCAATATTTGTTATCATTATCAATATATTCTGCTGTACTCATACAGCCATAAATCAATATTTACGCTGAATATTAGATTTATCGTGCTTACTTCCATAGTGACATATTGTAATAGACAAAAAAAGTCATCTCATCAAAAAACTCTTTTGCAAGCTTCTTAATCTCACTAAGTAATTAAGTTTATACTTCTTGAGAGATAATGAAGTAGGTATATAATTAATTAAGGGAGATAATTGTGTTTTAATGTTCACTGGGCAGAAGCACTGGGACCTGAGACTCATTCCAAGGAGTTCATTGCGAATAAACTTGGGTTGATTATGCAACATCCATGCAACTTGAGACGAACATAATTATATTGTAATCAAGTAATATGTAAGTCAGTGTTTCTCTTGGTTCTCCATTTGCTTACGAAGTGTTAGAGGGGACGAGAACAAGGAGGAATATGGAAGAGAGAGAGAGGGAATGGAAGGAGAAGAAGAAAGTTAGAAAGAGGAGGAGGGACAAAGAGAGAGAGGGAGAGAGAGAGAGAGAGAGAGAGAGAGAGAGAGAGAGAGAGAGAGAGAGAGAGAGAGAGAGAGAGAGAGAGAGAGAGAGAGAGAGAGAGAGAGAGAGATAGATGGATAGATAGATAGATAGATAGATAGATAGATAGAGAGAGAGATAGAGAGAGAGAGAGAGAGAGAGAGAGAGAGAGAGAGAGAGAGAGAGAGAGAGAGAGAGAGAGAGAGGGAGAGATAGAGAGATAGAGAGATAGAGAGATAGATAGATAGATAGAGAGAGAGAGAGAGAGAGAGAGAGAGAGAGAGAGAGAAGAGAGAGAGAGAGATAGAGAGATAGAGAGAGAGAGAGAAAGAAAGAGAGAGAGAGAGAGAGAGAGAGAGAGAGAGAGAGAGAGAGAGAGAGAGAGAGAGAGAGAG